CAGACAGACATCCTCTCGTCAATATGCGTTTTTCGCATTGCATTGCTGCAAAAAACACATAAAAAATCTTACACGCATTGGTCATCATATTCCTGCTTCATCTACCAGTTCCGTGTTCCCACAAGGAACAGAAAAAATGTTTGTTTCCGAGAAATACGCGAGCATTTGAACGCTCGGACGTCGGCTGTTTGATTTGGCGATCGTCTCCAAACGAATTTGATTTAGAAAGTACTTTGTGGTTAGTCTGGGCACGTTTGTGAGCTAACTGAGCGTCTTTTTTCATTCATTTTCGTTCGACTATATCTCAAGATTTTTCGCACGCATTTCGGCGCTTTCGGGTCGGAAGGCGCCGGCGTCCCCGACTTTTTTTGCGAGACGCTGCCCAGGACAATCAGGCGCTTCATGGAGTGCGAATTTTTTAATGTGATGATTTCAGGAGTTATGTGGGTTGCTGTTCAAGGATGTCGATTTTGTAGCATCGTCAACAATCAGCCTGAGAAGCATCTCAGGGAGAGCGATAACGTTAGCATTACTACCATTGCACTTCAAGCAGCACACAGCCATAGTTCTGTCGTCTAAACAAAAGCTTAAAAAAAAACTTTGTTTAGTAGCTCAGATCCTTCTAGCTGTAGTTTTTGCAACTTGTTCTGGAAATTTGCAGCTAGACAGTGCTGAAAAACAGCATAACATTCGAGCGGGCACTGTGCTGAAGTCTCATCATCGCGCAGTAGCTGATAAACATTTTCTGGATATTGATGTAAAGTGGGTGCACTGCGTACTTTGTTTCCGGTCCCTCCATCAGTGTTCTACTTGCAGTGATTTAAAACAGTGTCTTCTAAATTGATGTTAAGACGCAGAATGCGACTAAAGTGGCACCAAAATTAGAGGGAAAGTGGTTAATCGCGGAAAATTGCAGGATCTCTAAAACCAACTTTTGCATCCCTCGATTCAGCGTTAGCTCTTTTGAATGCCCTTGAAAGGCGAGGCTCGCTACTCCCTCTGGGCGATTCACTAGTACAGCTATCACTAGCCAGAATTTGCTTTTCTTTTTGTACATTCTCCTGAAGTAGGAACGTATTTAACATATGAAAGAAGACACCTCAGATTTGGTATCTTATGATGAAGGGACACGCTTTTCAGATTTCGTTGAATGTTTTTGAACATGGGATGCAAGTGCAAAATTTGTTGTTATTTAACGTAGTCTTTCGCTTG